TAATTATTTACAAAGTGCGTTTTAGGCAGGAAAGACTGATGATCCATAAATAGGACAGAAACATCTCACAAAATACAACAACCAAACAACGAGCAAGACATGATGCACAACCCTCCAACCCTTTAGTATTAGCGCATAAATCTACATGGTTTAAAAAAAAAAGTCTTATAAATAAGTTCTTAAAATTTTTTACTTGCATTTTATAGCTCTGCTTATTATGCCATCTTTTATTACCATTTACCAGTTAAAATCAATAATCAGGTACTGAACTCGGCCTTTCCTGTATTGATCAATCGGTATATTTCTGACCTCCATTATGGTCCAAGGTTAAAGGTGGTATCATGTTAGACATGACATAGAAATGGACCTTAGAGAATTGCAAATATTAACCACACAGCCTCTGAACTCTGGTTTCTCATAATAGAATGATCCTCCTTCTGTTACATACTTGAAAGTAAATTTGAAATGAAAATAGGTTTAACCCGTATAGAGCACGTTTAGAGCTACACAGGCTAGACTCTGCTCTCATGTGCAGTGGGTACTCCAAAAGGATCCTCTACTAAAAGAGCTTTTAACCTTCGAGCACCACAAAAAGTCTGCAGTGGGAGTACTTAGCGCTCTGTTTTTTGTAAGTTGCGGTACAGCGAGACCTCCAAAATGGTTTGAACTTAACCATGAAAATGCATTAAGTGATAGAAATTGTATTAATAGTTTTAATTTCATTTCAACTCCGCTTCGTTCGAGTCTCGTGTCAAGTTACAATGTTAAACAAGGTGTTCAAACATATAAAATATGCACATTTGTCTCTGTTTTTCCTCTGTTTTATCACCGTAACTCCAACATGTTTGAGTTGTTGACAGCTGATGGCAAAGAAAGAGCAACGTCACCCAACATCTGAGAAACTTTTACATTTAATTGACAAAAATAACACAAAAACAATTTAGAAATCATTCTACATTGTGTTGAAAATCGATTAATATTTTATCCTTTCCCACTAAGTTTCAGTCAGATGTCTCTGCATGTGTGCATTCCCTGGGTTTTGTGATCTCCAGCACGTCTGACTGCATGATTTAAACATTAAAGAATGTCTGTTCAACCTAAAAACAGAAAAGGGTGGCGAAATGTGTGAATGCATCCATCAGACCTGCAGTTTATCACTATAAAAGGCAGTGGACCTGTCAGAAGTAGAATTACTCCTCAGTGGATTGCATCTATCAACTTAACTGTCATGTAATGACCCTGTGAGACATCATGACGCATCAGTCTAACTCACCATGGCACAGATCTTGTGGTACCCTACTTAATTCATGTTCACACAGCTTGCAACTCTGTCCTCAGCATGGTCGATACATGAGGTGCACAGAGCTTTAATAGACAGGTAGAGAGTAATGGAGTGTTGACCACAGTATAAGCTATCTGAGGCTGTTAGAAGAGTACATTTAATTGAGTTGGACAGAGACAAAAGCCTTTCAGATAGGACCAAATGTTGGTTGGCTTTGCTTGATTTCGGTTAGGTGGTTATGTGCAAAAACCAATTACCGCTGACATTCCTCACTAATTATTAGAATTTAAATTATGTACTAAGTTTATGATTTGCCCTCCCACATTAGCCCTGGAATCCTCATCACTGTAATTGTAAAATTCATTGTTCCCACATCAGCACAAAAAGTTCAGTCGACTGAATTTAAACAGGAACTCTTTATTTAACTATATTAAAAAGCTCAGTTTCGTCTTTCTGACTTGTGAATATTATAATAATTTTTATGTTTTAAAGCAAGGGAGGATTTTATTTTTACTTTTTTACTATGAGTGACTATCAATATCAAACAAGACAAAAAAAAAAACCCAAAACAAATGCACACCCACTAAAAGCGTATATGCACAAATGTATATAAATAAGACCTGAAGTGAGAATTTTTAAGTACTTAGTGCAACATTAAGTTTATTGGGTCATATGTGAGAAATTATAAAAGCTATAAAACAAGCTGACTTTTAGGCAACAACCATAAAGCATACGCACACAGACCACTTTAGGTACACCTTGCTCCTTGTGGTCTTGGATCCCCTTTGGCTTGCAAAACAGCCTTAATTTGGTGCTGGAAACATTCCTCTGAGATTTTCATCCAGCAGAGATCAAGACTCATCATATCAGGCAACATTTTTTATTTAATTTTGGTGCGCCCATGCAAATTAAAGCCTCAGTTCTTAGTTGACAGGAGCGGTATCCGGTGAAGTCTTCTGCTGCTGTAGCTCATCTGCTTTAAGGATCGATACGTTGTGTGGTCAGAGAGGCATTTCTGTGTAGCTTGGTTTCAGCTAGAAGTTATATGAGTTGCTGTTGCTGTCCTATCAGCTCAGCACAGTCTGGCCATTCTCCTCTGACCTCTAGCATCAACAAGGCATTTTCATCACAAGAACTGCTGCTCACTGGATAGTTTTTCTTTTCTTTGTAAAACCTAGAGATGGTTATGTGGGAAAATCCCAGTAGATCAGCATTTTCTGAAATACTCCGATCTGGCACCAACAACCATGCCTCATTCAACTCACTTAACTCGCTTTTCTTTCCCATGCTGACGCTTGGTTTGAACTTCACTATGTCATCTTGACTAAGCCCACATGCCTAAATGCTTTGCATTGCTGTCATGTTATTGATTGGATACTGTATCTGCATTCATGAGTGGCTGAAGAGGTGTACCTAATGAAGTGGCTGCCACTGTTGTAATACTTGTTTTCAGTTGTTGTGCTTTGCAGAAGACATTTATCTAATACATTTAATATTAAATCTAAATTCACAATTGTCCAAACGACATTTTCAACTTATGGCACTATGCTGTACCTACTATTATTTATTGATTACTTCACAATGACATTCACAGCTCTCATGCAGTTCCCAGGTGTGTGCCAGATGCCCGCACAGCAGTGAGCAAGGAAATGCTGAGTGGTCGGATAGAGAGAGTTTGACTTGAGCAATATGGGTGAATACTGTATGAACAATGTAGTTACTATACCTGATGCAACAGGGGAGGAAAGGTTACTATGGCTGTAATGTGACCAAGACCTGAGACGCTTTACAGTACTGGACAATTCTGTGTGTGACAGGAAGTTTTGCCTGGTTATGACATAAAAAATGAAAGCAGAACCACTTGGTATTTCACGCAGTAGTCATTTACCTATCCCAGTTTATAAAACACTGCTGACCAGTGACATGAGATAAAGAAGAAAACTGACACTGTGTGTGCTCCTCACAGGTTTAGTTAAAACAGGGATAAAGCCGTTAGCTGAATGCCCTCCATTTTAAATCACATATTCACAGACAGAAGTAATAAAAAACTCAGTTGCATGCCACTATCACACTACCAAAGGGAATATAAAACACTAACATTAACATACATAATGACTTGTACTGCTGTTTTTCCATTTTCAAATTGCCCATTCCAAACACTAACCCAGTTCTGGATCTTCATCTTGTTATTACGCTGTGTATTATCAGCTATCAGTTAAAACAACCTTTAATTGGCATCAGATGAAAAAGGTTGTAATCCAGCAATAAAACATCTGGAAATGTCACGACATCTGCACCATGTAACTTTTGTTTTGTATCGATAGCCGCTATTGCATGACCAGGAAGCCACCCCTCACTATGCATTTCACACATTCTCTCACACACACAGTTTCCCTGCTCAAGATCATAATTTATTAACAAGTCTGATCTCTCTCTGAGACACACCATCACAGCTGTACATCCCACTGCCCTTTCGCTCACTGCCTCATCCCCTGCGCGTATGTATGCATGCGTGCATGTAGTGAAAAAGGGATGTCAGTGCACGCAGTGTATACACGTGGATGCTGGTAAGTGTGTGCGCAGCTCAGTGTATGCTGTGACTGTAGTTAATGATGAGTGGTGAGCTGTGGGAAGCAGGAGTGATTTCCAAACACTTCCCTGTTTCCTCACTGGAGCATAACAGTGAAAGGATCATGTTGAGCACAGCAACAGTGTTTCTATGAAGAAAAAAATGATAAAACTGGAAAGACCTTCAAAGAAAGAACTTCAGGAGGCCTCCGAGAATGGATGAAGGACCTATTTTTTGTGTTAATGACTACTCCCTACATGGAATCACTCAAAACAGCAATTATCCTCAAAATGAAACCATTTAACAAAAAAACAAAAACAAAACCCCAAAATGATACATGCTAGAAAACCAGAATCTTTATACAAATATGCCAGTGTAACTTTTTCTCTATGATGCTTTCTCCTGCTTTCTAGGATTCCTTAATTTAGGTCACTGTTATAAGCATTATGTCCCATCACTTTTATTGGTCAATAACCGTCTTACAGACAAAAAATATGCCAAATAAATATTTTGTAAAATTTCGACATGCTGGCTTTTGGAAGTCAGTGTAGGAGTGATATTCAAATTATCAGTCCTTGGTACAGCCAAACTCCTAAATATCATGTTTAAACAACAACAACAAGACAATCAAGTAGGTGAAGCCAGACGTCGATGTGGCAAGTTGGCGATGTGCAGATTTAAAAGTGGGGAAACTAGAGATCTATTCATTTGGAACAAACTTCCATGTGTTTTTGTTTGTTTGTTTCTGTGATGAAGCTGCCATGAAAGTGATAGTGCTGTCTTATTATGATGGTATAGTATATAAAGCTGAATGCAAATATGGCTTCATGGAATGATACCTACTTTAACAAAATATTGGGCTGTTGGTGAGCAGCAAATTATTGCATTTAATTACTTCAATAGACACTCGCTTATTCTTTTAATGCGTGGTGATGCCACTGGTTGGTCATAAATTCATCCCATAGGGACAAATAGCCATTCATACTTATAGCAACTTAGAGGCAGCTGTTAACCTACATGTCCATGCAGGATAACACACATGGAGCAGACTGACAAGCAGAAGCAGAACATAGTTCATGTCCATATTTGTTCATCAAAGTGGTTCATTTGTTTTTTGCGTGAAACAAGTCACTGTCATTTTTAACCTACCTGTCTGCTTACTGTGTTAGACTCGTCTTGGCTTTACACTGAGATTAGATTCCATGTTTTCATCCCCTCATCTTCAGTGTTGATGAACACAAGAAACCAGAAAGAGAAAGAACAGAACAAAAGAGGAAAAGTCATGATTTCACATCAGTATAACAATTGTGAAAATACAATCTCGTGTGATGTTAATTTCATTTATGCCTTGTAGGTATGAGACTGCCTATAAAGACTTTGAGTCAGGAAGAAAATGAATTCAGCACCAAGGACAGCGGCATAAAAAAGCACTCTGCTGTCCTCAGAAACACCTGAGCGTCAAAAGTATGGAGACACTGTTGACCAGTTTAAATGAATATTACTGTAAAGCAGGAGCAAAAGCTGGTAATTGACTGTCAGTGGCAGCTTTTTCTATGCTTGAGTTTTAGTGACGTATGCTTCATCAAACATTTTAACAGGAAAATATCCTTCTAAAAAATGTAACATACAAACGATATTTTTAACATACGCACAAACGATTAAATAAAGAAATTATTTAAAATTATTTATATTCCAGTTAGTCACACTTAATCCTCTTCACTGGAGCGCCACACATCTCAGCAAAATTTCAAATGATAATTATATAATGTGATTGTTTCAAATAGTTCTAAATCATGCAAAAATATTTGTATATTTTCATCCTTGTCTATTAAATTTTGCTCAGTTTTGATAGTTCTTTAAATGTTCTCATCCTTTTATATTCAGTAAAATTATGTTCCGTTTTTAACTGGCTAGGACATTAGTCACATAGATAAATAAAGAAATAAATAACACTACATGGAATATCCATATTGCTTTCTAAAATCCCACAGTCCCAAAGCCACTGCTTAACAGATGTTCTGTACAATATGTACTGTATGCCTTGATAAGATTTAGTAAACTTCATCCAAAATAATAAAAATGTACTGAAATCACCTCCTATTAGAGGTTTCTGTAAAAAAAAAGAAGAAGAAGTTTGGCCCTTGTTAGCAGAGGGCGACTTTTAATTGAATATAACAAAAATATAGATAATGTCTTAAAAACACTCTTGGAGCAAAATTCCCCTTTTCCTCTCTCCTTTTTTTCTCAGCAGTTAATGTACATCCTACTATTGGTAACATATAGTCACCAACTTATGATTAAACACACCTCCGTCTCAGCTGTCATGCACAATCCTGTCAAGCTGTTGAGCAGGTGCATTTCAGGATGTTAGAGCTCCCCACAGCACATATGGCTATAGCTGCAGAAAAGAGGTCATGATAAAGGTGACGTTCTAAAAATTTCTATGAGTACTTTGTTATATTTCTAATACACAAGTCGCTTTTGGATTTAACTGCTATTAACTGCCACTGTGCCCATGAATAATAAAACTTTTTAAATGTCCTATAAAAGCTTAAAGAACTGACTACAACATAAATTCTCACCATAATCTCTCATTTATGGCTCTAGAAAAGGGACTTTGGCTAATACGTCTGATTTATAAGAAAAATATATAAACTAATAAAGTCATTTTGTCATCGCATCACAGAAAACATCATCCCATAATATGTAGTGTTCAGTGTTTCTTCTAAAGTCAGAATCTATGATACAACACAAGCATGCACATACACACACTTTGCACTGCTCTACAGCAGCTAATGATGAGGTTCTGTAGTACATCCAGTTCAGTTAGGTGTAGTGTGTGGAATGTACATGACCATTTCGACATATATAGTACATACAAACAAATCGAAATCACAATCAGAAGCTTGTAAGCATATCTGATAACAAAATACATCCATTCAGCAGGAGAAATTTTCAGCTGCCTTACCCACAGATTAACATCTCCTGACACTGAAGAACGCACATAAATACATTTACACATAAGCATGTAAACACAAGTTAAAGTCTTAACATGTCACTACATCCCCACCTATAGTTGTCATCCTTGCACGCACATGCAGAGAGTTACTGATGTGCAAACTCTCTGTACAATTGTTAAATTAAACTTAGTTATGCAACAAGTTTCACAAAGAATTTACACTGATGTTGCTTTATATCAATAAGGACATCCCAGCCTAGTTAATCAAACATTACATTTTTACAATATACATAAAAACCATAATCATAGAAACATGAATATTTTATATTCATATATATTATTCTGAAAAAGCATGTAGCTGTCATTTTACACAAGCAATGATAACATGTTCATGTTGAGCAAATACACTCTTATCTAACTGAGCAACATAGTTAATTTAACAATTCTCATTGCTTATTATTTAGTAACCTAATCATTTTGATATCGCATTCCTAATAGAGCTAAAAAAAACAAACAGTATATGATTATCACAGATGGACATTTTATCATGGTTTGGTAAAATTATATATCACCTAGTAGTTCCCAATTCAATACAGTAACTCCAGTATAACAGAAACATTATTTTATCCTTATCTGCTGCATATCATTCTAGTAAAATATGACAATTTTGGTTAAAATTGATTAAGAATAATCAAAAGTCTTTCACTGACTATTCAACACATTGATGCATGTTTCAGCATGGGTGGTGTGGGGCAGGAATGATATCTGTTCTGAAGTGTGTCCAAAATGCACACCAGTAAGAATTAAACACAAAAATACACACACCTAAAATGCATTGTTTTTGTTTTTATGTTTGTTTTTAAAAGACAGCACATTATAGACCCTTAATATATTAAAGCTAATTACAACCTCTCCCTCGGGGCTTATAAAAATGCACCTGCTCTACATGAATTCCGACACGGGCCATGATTTTTCACTGTTTATAAAACTGTAATTTGCAGTTGTTTTTCTAGTAGAGTGCAGAAGATTTTTTTTTTTTTAAAGGCCAGTAATAACATGTGGGTTTGGCTATATGAATCAATATGTTTATCCAGTTATCCTCTAAGTTCTGTTACCCCTCTACGCTTGTTAGTGAGAAATATAACATTGCTAGTTAAAGCCAGTATAGCTCATAGACAGCAACTCATGTGGAAATTCCCATTTTGCTTGTTCTACCTTCAGTGCAGGTCCACTTGCCTTTCCTCTAGCGCAAGGTGCGAAGTGGATCCTTAGATGCAAACGGAAAGTAACATTGATAAACAATAACCAGATCCAGATATCGGATCCACCTGTATGCCTCTTTTCAAAGACTACCCGCCCACCCTTCCCCGGGAAGCCTAAAGCCAAGGGACATGCCTCAGTGCGGTTTGTCTGAACCCAAATAACTTCTCCGCGCGGAGTGAAATACGCAACTGCAGATAGTCTTTGTTTCACCTTCTGTATCTTTATCGTGCATCTGCTGCAGAGATTAGCAACCATTTTCCCCCCGCTGACACAACCCAGAATTACTGAACGTGACTGAAAGGAAACAACAAGCACGTTTATGCAGTACAACTGGCTTTTTAAATCCTGCGCAAAGTTCAAAGCAAATTGCTCCCTACAGTAGGATTGGCTGACGCGCGCTTGAACGCTCCCGGACTGTCAATTCTTTCACTGCACTCTGACAACCACTGCCTACCAGTCAGGAATGTGTGAGATTTGACCTACCTTGACGGCTTCGATCCTTGAAAGGTTGCGCACAAATCTCAAGCTGCTGGAAGTTTGACTTAGTCTACTCCTGATCCCTCGGAGGAGTCGCACTGAGAGAGAGGATGGGCGCCACTGCTCTGCGCGCCAGCTCCGTGGCTGTGTGTGTGTGTGTGTGCCCGTGAGCGCGCGTGCACGAGTGAGGAGAGAGTAAGTGAGAGAGAGAGCGAGAGAGAAACAACAGACGAGCAGAGCTGAAGCCCCTTGCCAAAGGATGCTTCAGTCTCCTAGCAACAACAATCGATCTGGCAAGGAGACATTTTTATTGGATAAAAAGAAAACTTAGCCACTCACCCCCCCCCCCCCCCCCCCCCCCCACCCCCCCCTTAGCACATGTTTACCACTCAGAACAACAACTCCAGCTTCAGTGAGTGAAGATAGAGAGTGAGAGAGTGAGAAGAGAGGTGTGTGTATGTGTGTGTGCTGCTCCAAAATAGATGTTTTATGTGTATAAAGGTGCAGAGTGACACAGAATTTGTTCGCATTCATCTGTCCTTGTAGCCCGGCTCAAAACACATAAGCAGTGGTGTATATATAAAAATCCTTACCCCTTTTTTAAATTTTATGGAGGCTCTATTATGTTTAAAACACATTATTACAGTCAATTTTGTCAGCATGAAGAACAGCACTAAACATGCAGCCCATGCTTCAGCTAGCTCAGGCATATTAGAAGAGAAGGGCATCCAACCCCGGAGATGTGACTAGAAGTTTACATCATGCGTCACACTAACAGGATGCATGATATTTTTCACAAGTTAGGTGTCAGTCTCTCTTACCTGTGTATTTCCTATTAGGACAACAACAGAAGGTGGCATTCAGTAGTGTGTGCGTAGGTATAGGTGTGTGTTTATGTGTACACAGGTACGCATCTGAGTATCTGTACTAGTACGATTATGCATATGGAGTCATTAGAATGCAAATATGCAAGTGCGCAGCCCCTATTGAACAGAAAATACTCTTCACGCATGATTGAGTAACACAGCGTCCTCTTTCTCTACTCAACACCAATACACACAGAAATACGTAGTACAATGCACACAGACACACACTCGAACACAAGCACTCATTCGACTAAAGCTTGATTTTGTATTGTAAAGTTAGTCAAGTGCATAGAGATAGCCTGTCTGAGAGCTTGCTCAGAGCTGTTTGTGATTGCAGCTAAAGGCCACAGCATGTTGTTTTGCCTGTTTTATATGGAGATTTATGACATGAAAGTTTCTAACTAGCTTGGCCGTTTTTCCATACATGCAATGCATGATGCTACCTGGCATCAGAAAACTGTGAGATTAAGCTTTGGTTGAGAAGAGATTTCTTAGTTAACTGAAGAAGAAAGGGTAAGAGCATCCACTTCACACCTCTGTGAAACACACATGCATGGGAAAGAGGTGGGAAATGCACACACTCTCACTTGTGCCCAGTGTCAGTCACAGCTTTCTCGGACTTCCATTCCTCATCCCTGTCGTTCCAGCTCGGAGATGCTGGCTACTCTAATAAAGGCCTCATTGTCTGGATGGCATGCATATATGCAAAAAGCCTAGAAAGCCAGCTTTGTCCCATAAGGGTCACTCAGCTTGAGAGCTTTGTGCCAGGCCTTTCCCCACAGACAGCAGAGTCAAAAAGAAAGAAAGAAAGAAAAAAGAAAGAAAAAAGAAAGAAAGAAAGAAATAGAGAGAGGAAGAGAGCAACACGGAGAGAGAGAGAAAGAGAGAGAAAGAGAGAGAGAGAGAGAGAGAAATGAATGAGATAGATGGCAAATGTGGACATCCTGAACGTCACTGTATGAAACTACCTCATACTGTTATGTGTATTTGTAGAGGAATTTAACGTTTTGCCTTATCATGGTGAATTGCTCCAGCTCATGCAGCAGGAAATGGCTCTGCTGGGATTATGTTTCCTTCTTCTTTGATTCCCCACAGATTGTTTGTGTCCATGCGCTAATAGAATTAACCATGCTTCATTTCCCATGGTCTTCTGTCCTTTCTTGGCCTCGTGATGGATGGAGCTTCACACAGAGGAGCGAGTGTGCTTAGAAGTGTGCCCAGTGTTGGTCAGACAACCGGTCTAGTTATAACCACAAGCGTCCATTTGCTTTGGTCAGTGTGGTCACTTGTGATGTTGCCAAGTGGACAAAAGAACTCATAGAAACATAAAGCTTGAGGCGATTAGGGAAATTTCCGTCTAACATAAAAGAAGTATATATTTTAAATTGAGTCTTATGGTTAGTGTTGTTAAGTGCTGTTGTTTATTCAGATGTGTCGCTGCAAACTTAAGCATGTTGCCATGTTCTTTGTAGAGAGAAGAGGCTTCAAACAAGGCTAACTGTACAAATACTGACTGTATCATTTAACATGCTGCGATGTCCACTCTCGGGAAGATAGGCAGCTGTCTAAAATGTTCAGCTGAGGTTGTCTGTACCTGATGTTGCAATTTTAGGACCTGGTAAGTTCTCATATATGAAACCCTAAAAATGTAGACATTCTTTTACACATGACTACAGTTCACATTTTTTGTAAACATGCATTGCAAAAAAAACAACCAAAACCCTGTAACCCAGGTTTTTTGTTCGGTTTGAATACTTCCTTGATAACATTCTCTTCTCTTGCTAAGGCCCCATTCAAAAGACTGGAATGGTCTGTTCAGAATAGCGTAGATGCTGTCACAGTCGCTACTCCACAAAAGTCTGCCAGTGTGTAGCTGGCATACGAACACAATGTTCATATTTGGAAATTAAGACGCATATCAAATTTGCCCTAAATTTGTTTTAGATGAATAGATAATAATGTGTGTGTTTGGGATTGTGTATCAAATGGTTAATGTTGTTTTTGGCTGTTTATGGCTCCTAACAGGGGGTTGGGCTCTAATTATCCTGGTTACAGAGGCATGGCCAACAGACTGTGGGCCAAAAACACTTCACAGGACGTGCACTGACCTGTCTCATGTTCGTCTGCTCATCAGTCACCCCCCTTCACACACACATACACGCAAAAAAACTTTGTACTGAATACTTTGTCACTGAACAGTGACTCACCTGGCACAGCCTCAGTCTGCCATGTTTTACATCTAAACATTATTTGCTGCTCTGCAAACATGCAAATTTCTAGTAGAGAAAAAAAAGAGTGAAGAGCAAAAACAAGAATTCTAATCTGTGTTTCTATTTCCCACTGTTTTTCTCATTCTCATTGTGTTTTATGGTTTATTGCTTTCTAATGCTATTAGAATACCAAGGTCCCCTGGTTTGCTGGTTGCCAGGTTTACAGTACAACCTACCCCAGAGCCCATCCTGGCATCCATGGTGATCAATATAATTGGGGATTGAACCGAGAACTGGCTTTTATAGGGAACTGGTTCCTGTTAGTTGAATCACTTGTAATACTTCGTTTGCTTGCCTATCAGTTCCACTTATCCGCTGAACTTGCGCTACAATCAGCTGATTTCAGTTTTTGTGCAGGCGAGGAAATTAGTGGCGCAGGTTACAGTGTGGATTTATTTTTTATTTTTACTGCACAAAAAGACAAGTGTGAAGTAGAAACTGCATCCAGGACAGAAACAACTGCATTATAAACTTTCGCTCATTGCAAGCACCTGCACAGATTGCATGCTAATGCTAAGCTAGAATCCAGAACCCAGTCCTGCAGCCAGATCCTGAACTTCAACAGGTAACAAAAGCAGTGATGAGCAGTCAGGTTGCAGCCTCTTTTTCCACCTATTCATGTTTATAAAGTAGAATCACTGTGCTGTTCACTCTGAAGTCTCTGTGCTGGTTTCCATATGTGCTGTTTCTGGTGTTCATACGTAAATACCAAGAGAGTCCTCATTAGGATTTGTGTTGGTCTGTGGGACTGTAGCCAATAGGTTTATATTATGAAATGGTAACTTTGAGCATTTCATGTGAAAGTACTGTGAAGAGTAGTGTAACACATTTCTTTCTACAGGGCGTAACATACTGCAGTACTTTTAAGAAAAGTATGTTTGCCCACACAACATGCACAAACATTTGACCACACAGCATGTAGTTAATTTGCAAAAATGTAATGTCTTTGATATGTTGCTTAGCGATGGTGGTGACTCTCAAAGCAGAGCCAAAGAGAACCCAATGAGGATAGATAAGAGAACTGATAAGTGATGTTGATAATGGGATTGGAATCACTACATCCCTACATACTGCCACACCTTTTCACTGTCACATGGAGGCTGGGGATAGTTTCTGTGTAGAAACAGTTATTGGACTGAGGGTTTACTAACAGAGTATCATACTTTTCAGCCTCCTCCCAAAAAACTTTATTCCAGGGTGCTGAAAAGGAGGCTGTCACTTGGATGGGCAATATGAATCATTTCCAATCTAAATTGTTTTAATGATTTGAGTTGGCTTATGGCCATGTCCCCTAAGCAATTGTACACTGGGTCCAACAGGATAATGGAGTATGAGGACCCCTTGTTGAGATCCTATTTTCATTCATATTTCATATACGCATAGATTTATGAACAGAATCTCAAGGCAAAGTTGGGATGAGAAGTGTGTACAGTCCAGCCTCTGCTTTTTGCAGTTGATATGCTTCTTTTAGTTTTGTTAGATCACAGGTTTCACTTCCCATTTGGGATTGTTTGAAGTTGAGTTTCATGAGAGTTAGCACCTCCAAGTCTGAGGCATGGTTTCCTGCTGAAGCAGAGTGGATTGTTCACTCCAGGCAACAAAAGGACTCTTGTGATGAAGTGGGAGCTTATCTGGAAGTCACAAACCTCACCTCTGGTCAGGAGCTCTGAGTGTTGACCAAAATATTTAGATTGCAGAACAGTGTGACACGGCTCAACCTCTGGGGTATACCTGCTGCTTCTTTGTGTCAAAAGGAGTTGATATATAGCCTGGGAATGCCTCGGGAGGGATTGGAAAATGTTGGGGAGAATGGTGTCTGTAATTACTTCCTCAGCCTGGTGCAATCACAGCCTTATGACAATTCATAAAAACAAATAAATGAACAAACTGCCAAAAAGCATCTGTTTTTCTAAAAAAAAACCCCAAATAAATCATATAGTGAAGAATATATAATCAAAGAAATCAATATAAGAAAAAAAACAACAACAACAACCTATAAATAAACAAACATACACAAAGGGGAATAAACAAAAACAAAACAAACAAAATACAAAATAAATAATGACC